TGCTTGTATTTGCTTAATATTTCATACTCTTTGATTGAATGGATTTGATTTCTTTTAATTTATCACTACTATGATTGTATTTTCAAGCTTCTCATGCAATTTTCCGCTCAGGATTTTACTCAATGCTTCTATTCCCTTACGATTCTGATCACTGAAGATACGGTAATACTAAATCACTAAAGAACACTTATTTAATACAAGAACTTGTAGTTTTCTTCGTTTTCCATCTTTTCTTTTATTTGCCACCTTTTTCTTCATTCTCATTTCGGTCTTTTGATGTAAAATGAGTTCACCACAAGTAGTGTAGGTGCGGATACAATTGTTGTGAAATGTTGCTCGCTTTAGTAAATAAGTTGTTTCTTTTCTTGCGTCGGATTAACTTTCTCGCTTTTCATGTTCACATAGTCATATCGAGCATACCGTGGTAGTTAGAGGTATTGTGCCATACAAACACGGCCCTGGGTTCAATCCATCTCAATTCAGGTTGACTCAACTCCGATCGCTCTAGGATCAGCAAACTAGCGTCCGTGTCACCTCCTGAGAGGACGAAAGCGTGGAATCTTTTTCAGTGAGCTTTTGTTTTTTTTTTGTTTTCCTTAGTTGTTTTATTTAGTTTTTTTTATTACTTACCACAGTTCTATTCTTATTCGGTGTTCGTATTGGCTAATATAGGATAATTCTAATGGCCACCAAACTAGGTTTTCGGTTTTCCGATTTCATTGCAAGTAAAAAGATTATGAAGTAAAGTGAGAACTCTAATTCTACCCTTAACTATATGGGAGTGTAAAATTAGAAGACAGAAGAACTTAACTATTTCATGCTGTGCGTTGCGTTTAATCAATCAATCAATCAGTCAATCAATGCATCAATGCGTTTAAATGGAAAATTAGAAACCGTTCAACCAATGAAAAAATCAATGAGGAAATTTTTTAAAATACATATTTTTTGAAGTCTACATGAAGTAAAAGTACTCTCAAAATATTGATTTTTACGGAATTGTCATAATCGGACATAATCTGTCAACTTTTCAAGTTTGGACGGTTGGATTTTTCAGTTCGCATCAGTAAATTAAGAATTTCTTCAAGAAGGTAGTTTAAACACCGTGGCAATTTTTAAGGTGTGATTGTAATGTTGACTGTAGTTTGTTTCTTGTATATGAGTATTTTTATTCCATAGATACGATGCTCTTCTGTGCATACTTTTTGGATACTTGGACGGCCGGTCGTCATTCGTTGTGCAACTCTCAGCATAATCTCCATTTTTTCGGAGATTTGCTGGCTTAGCTTTTGTGGTTCCCTGAAATCCTGAGGTCAGCCTGGCCAAAGTCTGTCCCAGATCGTCACCACCACAGACAGATGAAACTCTTGTGGATCAGAGAGAAATTTGCCACGGTGCGACTAATTTGATACCAGTACAGTGGTGCTTCCTGGTATTAGTTGGTCCGTACCTTTTACATTTGCTAACTAAAAATAATACAGAATAGTTAACTAAAGAAGTTTCCGAAATATTGGCAAATACGTAGGCTTTATGCTAATTTTTTGGGAACGCTGTCAAGGTTTTAAAAGAGTGTTTTTATTACTTGGAAGTGTTTTACAAATTTCTTCTATTTCTCACGCCATCTTTCCTACTCTCGTCTTTCTTGTCATTTTCTTCTTTTTTCTCGTCGTCTTCTTTTCATCTCTCTATATTGGTCATTTTCTTCTAATAAAGCTTTATTTTGACTTCCGTATTCCTCATTTCCGATTTGTGTTTGATCCACGAAGTTAATTTTGACCATCACCACAGTTTCGTCAAAGGCACTATAATGAAGAGGTTGTCGATACCGTTGCGATCATTAAATATCAATTTCCACAATGTTAGCATGTTTATGTTAATAATAGAGAAACAAGAGCGCGCATAGTACAGGGTTAGAGGTGCCTTGTAATATAGACCTGCTTGTTGGTTTGATTTCATCTGGGGTATGTCTGGATGGATAAAAGCGCTGATTTGATGGATTGGTGAGAATCCGAGTCATTATAGCGACAAATATGTGCACCACCCCTAAGTGATAGATCAGTGGTAGGTCAAATGGAAATTTTCTCATCCTTCACACTTTAATAGAAAAACGACAAAATTTTCAGAAAAAATTCTCTATTTTTTTTTCATTTTAATTTCTTGTATACGATCCGACTTCACATATACCGTAAGGATCCCAGCAATTCTCACATTCAATTCGCTTCCTCGCATCCATCGTCCACGAACGTCGTCGAACTTTAACGTGTGGCTTTGGATGCTGCCTGAAGATTTTCTTTCCTTCATAAATGTTGAATGTTGCTCAGGTCGATTCTCGCTGGGGTCCTGAGATAGCTGGGCTAGAGCGTTCTTACTTGTGTTACAGAAACTCGTTTTTTCCCGGACATCTCCGGTACCGCTTTTATTGAGCTTTCAAGAACATTGAGGATGTAGTGAAAAGGACGAAGAACACTCGATGTCGTGCCCAGCTTTTCACCCCCACAATGCTTCCTGCCTTAACGTATGCATTAGAAACCTGGTCGCTGCATAAGCAGGATGAAAGGTCACTCAGCGTTATCGAATGCGCAGTCGAAAGGACAATGTTAGGAGTATCCCGTTTCATACAAGCAAAGGAAGCGATCCGAAGCTCCCACCTGCGTAAACGATAAAAAGCAAAAATGCTGTTCTGTACGGCAAACAGTCGAAGATCAGGTGGGCCGAACACGTAATGCGTATGAACGACAACCGTCGGACAAGAGTCGTTAGTGACTAGATTCCCCGGGATGTCAAACGTACTGCAGGAAGACCACCGACCCGATGGTCAGAGTTTTTCACAAAGAGCCTTGAAGAAAGATACGATGTTCAACGAGACTCTAGAGCGAGCAGAACCAATTGGGCTACTTTTGCACGCGACAGGGAAAAACAGAAGATTTACTAGCGCTCGGTCGAGTCACTCAACGGTCAACGGGACTACAGGTGATACAGGTGATTCTTGGTCACTTAATCTTTCTTTCTATAATTTTAGAAAAAAGCTTTCAAGTGGGCGATTCTTATCTAAAGACGTGTGCATACGGCATTGTGCTAGGATATGAGGATTCTTTTCCGATCTATGCAAACGTTCACAAATTTCGTTATTTTTTGGTGCTTCCGTTGATGATGTTATTAAAATTGAAGTTTTAACTTCATCGGTCACAGTTCCGTCTAGACTGGTGAGGAGTACGGTATCGACGTATTTTACTTTTTATGAATATTCATTGTAAACTTTCAAAAATTCTGCTTTGGCATTGCAATGAGAGCGACGTCAAAAGGCTGCTTGAATCAAAAACAGGATTAATGTACTTACAAGACAAACAATTCATATACTCGTTATCTAGCTTCTTTCAGATGAGATTTTGGTTTTGTTCATTTAGCAAATATGTGGTTTTCAAGTGCTTCTATAGTTTTCTAACAAAGAATATTTTTTTGACTTTTGTAACTTTAGAAACCGATCGGTTGATTTTTACAAGTCGTGCAAACCCCGGTACGACTCCCATCCAGTGGTTGTTCTACTCATTGGTGCAGTATAATGACAATTTTTCTTCAATGATGCTGAGATATTTGCAAAACTCCGAACCGCAGGTGTATGCGGTGGGGGAACGAACGCGCTATTGTCCTTACCGGGAAGTAGCGCACTTCACCACCACACTATCCGAGTCCTTCGTTTTGCCTGTCTCTCAGCTAGTGCTCTCGATCTTCTGCCATCAGCAATCGCCCGTCAACGGGGTTGACCTGGGGGCCCAAATCGGCAACCAATCCAGTTAAGCTGAGGCCGCAGTTATAATCACCAGCATCATTGAACCTATATTTCGCAATTTTTCTTTTAATCCTCTCAGAAAACCTTAGTGCACTTATCCTAAGTAATTGTTGAAGGCGGTTTAAGACTTCTATGGATCGTACGGAGGGATTCCTAGCTGAAAGTAAAAGCTTCTCAATTTCATTTTCCGGTATATGAGATGGATTCGCTGATGTTGACAGTAGTTCACTGCATTCAAGAACATTCCTTTTCCCTTGCCGATAACGAACGTTTGGTTGATTGCAGTTAGTAAATTTTCCATCTATAAAATAAAAGTCCTATATTGCTCGGTTTTTTCAAGTATGCTTCCTTTTTCTATTTAATAGAAAAAAATGCAACCAAAAATATACGAAACACTTTTCCAGTCTCCTAATTTTCTCAGGACCGAAGAAAATATCAGAAAAATGCTAAAACAAAGCATTTTCTCAGCCTTCTTTACAAAAAATTTTTTAAAAAAACTTTTCGAAGCAGATGACTTCATATTTTTCTCATTTACAAATAATTTTTGGATTTTTTAACATTTTTTTTTGTGCAAATGCTCAAGATAACACCGTTTTAATACAACTATTAGCATGTCCAACACCATTAGCTAACGAGCACATCGAAGAAAGATGAGGGGTTTGGGTGATGAAAAAACAAAAAGCCAAGAAGAGTATTAGAGGATTACGGTATTACTTTCAGCCTAAGCCATTAATCTGTCAGTGAGCTCTTCTCTAAGGCGTTATTGTCGTACCATTATAACAGTAATAAAAATTCTGAAACCCTAGGTAACGTCACCAAATTTCTATGCACTTTGAAAAGAATTTCATCGTTTTTTTTTGCATTTTTGCACGACCTAATATTACCCATTATTCAGCAGCTATATCAGATGAAACTGCTTATTAATTCCGAATCGTTGATTAATTCCAGTAAAATTCAATGGATGACTAATATTGTGCTTTTTCGTCAGCAATGAAATCCACTTACACCTGCTCTGCGTTTCCCAAGCTAGTAGTATACATTAGATACGTATCGACCTTTTCATTTCTGTCATTTCCTCATGAAGTTTGCTTTCATATTTCTTTCTTTGTTTATGAGAAACTGTTCAGTTGTTGCCTGAAAATCGTTTCAGACAACATTTTTAAACTTCTCATAGAATAAAATCATTTCAAAAAATGCTTCATGTCTTCAGTTTTAGTTGCTACAATCCCGAGAGTCAAACGGCTTTCTAATTGTTTATTCACTTTAGGGAAGATAAAAAATAAAAGGAGAAAAAGTAAGTAAATAATGATTAAACTTGCTTCGATGATGAGAAAGAGATTTTCGTGAACTTTACAACGGTAATTCAAAAACTCGCAAGTTAACTGAGATAAACGAAAGTCTTTTCCACTTATATTCATAAAACACCTGTTAATCCTTATTGTATTCCGTTTTAAAATCATTTTAATAAACATTCGGGAAAACAATCATTGTTGTTTCACAATTATGTTCTCGCTTCATTTCGATCGTTCTTTCTTTCCGTCTTGGACTTTTCTTCCTTTATGTTTAGCTCGGCTTTTCCATCAGGAAGCCTAGCTAAGAGTAAACCAATACCAGGATCGACCACCGTCCTGGTCTCAAACTAGTCGCATGGTGGCAAATCTTCCTCTGATCCACAAGAGAGCGACTGCATATGGTGGTGACGACCTGCAGCAGACTTTGGCTTGCCTGATATCGGGACTCCAAGGAAACACAATTGCTAAACCAGCAAAACTCCAAAAAATGGAGATTGTGCTGGGGCCCGCACAACTAGGAGGACGAGCCGTCCAAGTATGTTTAAGTATGCAAAATCTTTAAATTGAAACCTGAAACAGTGTAGTTTCGTTGAAAATATAGCTATTACATATTCATAATATAAGGAGTACTCTTTTGCTGGAAAAAAGTTCTATGTTTCCCTTAACGTCAACTTTTCCATCGCCAAGCATCAATCGATATTTATTATTTCATCACCATTCATTGATCGATATTGCAGGTGTTGATTTCTATGTTGTCTCTTATATGCTGTATAAAAGCAGAATTTTTATACTTCATGACTTGTTATCTTTGCACTTGAATAACAACGATTTCTTCTGTTTCTCTGACCTATGAATTCATGCAAATCGAAAATCAGTATATCGATTGGTTTGCAGATGAACATCACGGACGTAGAAGAACCGCAACCGGATGAATACGTCTATATTCTGCCGTTAATTGTTATCTTAGGTCTGAGTGGCAACATTATCAGTCTCGTCACGATATTCCATTCACGGCTCAGAAATGTGAGTTGTACTTTATCGAATAGAATAAGAGAAGAAAGGAAGCAAAACTAATAAGAACTAGTTAGAACTCAGTGTAAATGAGGAACTGTGTCAAACCTCTTTCATAAAACATCGAAAAGGTTCGCTTAAATTAGTCTCAGGAGACGACAGAACAGGACAAAACAAAGAAGCAATAAATAAGTACAACTCATAGCAATAAGTGAAGTGTCGTACTTACCGGAAATAAACTAAAAATACGAACTCAACAGGAATTAGTTATCATTAAACGGCTCACTCACAAATACTGTAGGATACAAGAGTTCGCTAACCGATGTGCGTATTTCTCTTCTTTTCCATGCGATTTGATTAAAGGGCGATAGGAGAGGCATCAAGCGACCGACATATTAATGGTTATATGCTACCCGCCTTTTTTACAAAGTGTATAAAGTTTTTTATCTAGTTTGGATGTCTCAGATGCCGCAGTGATTAGAGATGCCTTGCATTGCACACTGGATCGGTTGCTGGTTCGATCCTGCTCTGGGCCCTCCACGTATCTTGTATTGCCGAATCATTTCCATATTTTTATAGAATATATAGTACAAAAACAATTATATGATAGATCCGTGGACCTCCGAAGTCACTGTGGAGCTCAAGTATGTGTTCAATCACCTCTAGAACGCTACGAATGGAGTCGAATGCATGCTCAGCAGTATATTGTAGATCGGCGTGTAATGCCTATAAGAACAGCCTTATGTCAGGTTAATGTCACCAATATAGCAATTACATAGTAGCGAGATATTTACAATACTTTCTGCGAATTTACCCTACTAATCAATGAACGCCTAGATAAATATTTTTGAAAAACACTCTCTTCGTCCCTGTTCTGTCATGAAGAGTTACACAAATGTATAACTTGAGGTTTTTCAACAAGTGTTAGGCTTTATAGTGGTCATTTGAATGGTTTACCTTCCTGTAATTGCTAAAAGTATCGTGTAGCGCAGTGATCGGAAGCTCCCTTCAATACATGAGGGATCGATCCCTGCGCCTCAGGCTCACCAAGCCTTCCGTCTCTCCGGGGTCGGCAAACCGCTACCAGACTTGTCTGGGAGAACAGCAGCACTGGCTCGATACATCGGTAGCCCACCGCGAGTCATTGTAAGGGCCAGATAGGCATTCACTCACCGCCAACGATGTTTAGTGAAGTGGAATGCATGGCGCATCTATACCTTTAACGTTCATCCCAGTTTCTCCACTGAATCTGCAGTTTAGATCAGCACTTTCAACTAAGCAGAAGTTGATCCTGAAGATAATCCACTGCCATTAACTACCAGTATTGAAAGCCACCCATGAAAAGGACACTATCAAAGGGTGGCGGACCTATTCTAAAAGCAAAATCGTTTAAGAATACTTACGCCATTGACATGACTTGGTGTCGAATCAATCTTTATTCATGAAGAATATTCTTACTTATTTCTCCACCCACCTGCGATATTAAGGATTCGTCCTTTTCACTAGACTATCGATGGGATTTATGTAAATGGTCTCTAGAACTTAATGAAAAGCCCATTTTCTGAATAAGACTCATCTATAGAAGAAGCTTCAACTGTATTCGACGGATTTCTCTGCAGTAGATGCTAAAATGATGTCATATATGCTGTTCAATCTTAAATCGAAGCAGAACTGCCTGCATGTTGGAGGAAGTACGAGGTTTGGAGCAAAAGCAGAAGTGTCCTTAAACGAACGGCTAGTTGACAATATTAGACGAGGAAGAATAGTGCCAGAAATCCGACACTGGCACATAATGAAGAAGAGGCTGACGATGTAGTAGACCTAATATCATCATGAGAACTATTCTTAGTGCTGCTACATTTACGTCGTATCCATCAACGAAACGAAAACGGTCTATTTTCTTTTCGGTCTTCTTTCTGCTACTACATTATAGCCAACCATGATAAAGTTCTACTTGGAGGATTTGGATCCCCGACTCTGCCATATTACGATACATCATCCGCCCAAAGAACGACCGTCGAAATTGCGATTAAAAATACTTTTTATTTTCAATGCAAATAACGTTGGATCTTCGCAAGTGCAGAAGGGTTGTTTACTAGTGAAGAAGTTTGTGGCTCTTAGTACTTTATTGCTAATGGGTTTTACAATGTCAGCTTTGAGTTTGTGTTTGCACTTTGTTTCTTGGCTATACTAGTTGAGTTATGCTTTATAGAAGGTTTGCAAATTTGTTGTTTAATTCATAGAAGTTCTGGTCAAGAAGGTGGGCGTTTTTACGGCGATAAAGGAAGTTTATTCGTGTTGTTGCAATAGTTGGTTACTTCATTTTGCCTTTATGACTTCGTTCGAGTCGCAATCGTGGCTGGAGATGCATTGTTTTGTGCAAACTATCTTCAACTGGTGCACGACGACGTTTGCTTCAAGATTCTGTTGTTAGTTTATTAACTATGCAATCTAATAGTTCTTCTTCAAGAATTTCTCCTTCCAAGCATGTTTAAGAGTGTGAAAGACGACATGAATACGCTGCATTCAGATGCATTCTATGTATAGAATAATGGCTAACTCGTTGCGAAAATAAGAAAATTCTGGAATTACGATGTAAATACGAACTACCGCATCGATAGAGTTTAATCATAGGAGAAAAATCCAGTTTTTAATGGATTCTTTCCAACAAATGGTCGAAATGAATAACGTGGTAGGACCCTAATTGCTAGGACAGTACATGCGTCCTCAATTTTGAATGAGGAAGCAAACAGCTTCCCATCTCTTTAGGGTCCCACTACTCTAGGGTACTCTTTAGGGATCATCTCTCAAATAGTTGGATCTTCTCTCAGGATGTGATGTGATTCGTGATCTCCGTCGCATATAAAGAACGTTATCTTCATAGACGGTAATTATGAGGTCACATAATCAGTTAGAAGGAAACAAACCAGATTAGCTCTATAGTTAAAATGTTCTTGTGCTACACTAGTTCTCAGTTGTGATACCTGCTTTCTGTGGAATACTCATATCAACGAGCTACTTAGGTGAAATCAAGTTCTTACACGTTGGAAAATCGTGATTGGATCCGGGTTGAAATTTTAAGGCGATTAAATAACGATTGGGCAAAATAGCTCTTGCGCAAATTGTTACTATCATGAGACGAGTTGAACCAAGTGTGCTCAACTCTACAAAGGACCAACCAATAAAACTGTTAGCTCTTGCATTTTTTTTCCATTTTTTTAAAAAAACTCCCATTCTTTGTTGAGAGACAAAGGTTCCTGCGTTGCTTCATTACAAGAATATGGGTATTTCGATAAATATGAACATAAAATATTTCTTCCTCGAAAAACAGGCGATGGGACGAATAATAATATATTATTAAATGAAACATAAATCTTGCAACTACTTTCGTCACAACTATCAGTTTGTTATGGTAGTGTACGAATGCTCCTCTCTTCCTGTCCATCGCTCGTCCACCAACATTGTACTAGTCAAACTGAAGAGTTTAACATTTCCTTCTATGAATGTCAGCAATCACCACTGTCTTCGAAGCGAACTAATGTTAAAACGGGAACTTCCTAATCATCCACAAACAATAGCTGACCACCGCCTCTCTATCAATGGTGACGTGACCTCATGAAGTATTATCTCAGCAATTTTCAGTGAAAACCTTCAGCCAGGAAAAGCACCAATGAAAATGACATAGTGTAGGTGTTCAACATGAAATAGCTGCATTGAAATACTTAAATATTCATCCCTCAACTACCCTCCAAAATTTGAACTACTCTGAGATCGAGCCAACGTCCGCGTAGAGGAAGCACTAAGAAAGTTCTGTGTTGATGTAAGTGTCAAAAATACAACAATGCAAAATTATTTTCTACGGTGATGTGAACCTAACGGAGTATTCTGGAAGCTTCTACGATAATGGTACTATAATACGGTAGCTTCGGTCATAGCTGTATGGCGAATGCTGTCAAATTTCAGGTGAACGCCAATGTCTATCTAATTGTGCTCACAAGTGCAGATAGTGTATTTTTATTCGGTGTACTTCTTGTATGTTTTAAGGTAAGCATAAAATGGTCACAAAATTGTATAATATAGCTTCAAAGATAGTTTTTCTGTTGTGAGTTTTTATGTTGTACAACTATTATATTCTTATGAAGCGTAACGATTCTTATGAAAGTGTGACTGTCACATTTAGATTGATCTTGTTTGATCGATATTGATTGATTTGATAATGATATTTGGTATTCTTCATTATCGAATCCTTAACAAGTTCACTTAGCGCTGGAAGAGAAACAGAAACGAAAAAAGCCAAAGGTCTGAAGAAATAGGCAACACTTTAGCAAAGTACAAAGTAGAATTTTAGTGAGTAATGAATTTTGTGTTGATGATTCATGATTAGTCTGAGAGCTCATCTGAGAAACAGTTATATTCATCTTATGAAGTAGTATTTTTGATAGCTTAACAGTCTTGCAACAAGCTCGTATTACGGTTACATAATAAGGCAATTACAAGAGGCAAAATATTGCCCATAGAGATCATTGAGCGGCTAAAGGAATTTTCATCCAGTGTTTTACAAAGTAAAAAAGAAGGGCACTCGGGAACTGATAGCGATGCCTGGAAAAAAAAACACCTTTTCTTCCACATGTTTTCGTCCCATTTACACCACTCGCCTGCAACCAGAACTGTTGCTGATTTGCTCCGGTTTCTCATCTAGGACCTTATTTTTGTTAACTTATTCCTTTAGCAGTTATCGTGAGAGAATAATTTCATTGATGTCCCTAAGCTTTAACTTTTAGTTATTACTACTTCATATAACTTTTCTCTACATTTCTTTTCACTGCTTTACTGCATTCTGGCGTTTATAACAGTTGACCTGTTCATTGTGAACTTGTGAACAAGAACTTTACTAAAAAGTAATCGGTTAAGGTGGACTTCATCGCATTTGAATACTGCGTCGGTTTGGAATATCTATTGATGACGGCATCGTATGTTAGTAGTTGGTCAACAGCAGCCCTTACGATTGAACGCTATATAGCCATAGCTCATCCACTGAAGCATGTTAAGGTTAGTATGAACATTTTTAATACAATTTTAACCTCTTTATTTACTGCCTACTACTATTTTTCACGGCAGGGTATTGTCTGTGACACAACCACAATGATGCTGAGATATTTGCAAAACTCCGGACACCAGGTGTCCGTGCTGGGAAACGAACTCGCTGTTAACCTTTCCGGGACTAACGCGTTCACCACGATACCATGCTGGTCCTTCGTTTCGCTCGTCTCTCAGCTAGTTTTCTATTGATCAGTGCCATCAGCAATCACCCGTCAGCGGGATTGATCTAGAGAGTCCAAATCGGCAATGAACGTAGTTAAGCTGAGGTTGTAGTCGAAATCACAATGTTCACGTTTTTATTTACCGTGAAAAACAATAATTGGTAGTAAAATGCGTTATCTCCCGGAAAGGGTAATAGCGCATTCGTTTCTTACTGAAGGCACCTGCGCTCCGGAGCTTTGTGAATATCTCAGTAAAATTGTGGTTGTATTTTTAATGGAGTTAACCGAAAATAAGGCTTCCATCTTGCAGTTTTTACCAATATAACGAGGATGTTTTTTGTTGAAATGATGCTTTTCACTCCTTTTTCTAATTTTGTGACGCTGTAAACACGGAAACGCCCCATGAAATCGAGTTTAATCTCAAGGAAATCCTCGCAAAATAATAAGACTTCGCATGAAGATGGCTTCAAGACCTAATTATAGCGAAAAATTCTACGTGTCCTCTTATACGGGACCGTACCTGCTCTCATAGCTTGGCAGTCAGTGGCGACTCATTACATTATTCTACTATATATTATTGTAACTAATATAGTTCAAATTGTGAAAACAGTGCAGAAAACGAAGTGTCCAAAGATGAACGAAAGCTTCTAAGGACCAAAGAGTTTCAAGAGCGGAAGTAGACCGAGTTATGTATGTAGGACAGCGTATGTAGGACAAACATCTTATCAGAATAGATGTACGAAGTGCTGTTCTACTAAGGTTTTCGCATCTATCAGATTTAAGTCACCGAAAAACCACCAGCATTTTCAGGAAGTTTGACAATCAAGACAAGAATTTCTGAATTTTTTAAAAAGCGCGTGTTAATAAAAAATATTACAGTACGACCATGTTAATCGAGTACGGATGATCGCCTATTGGGTACCGATACCGTTCGTATTGCAGTTATTCCAGTTTGTTTCCTTAAAACCGGTTGATGGTGATGACAGAAAATGTGCACTAAAAGAAGCAAACTACCAGGTCTATACGTAATTTATCATACTTGTCGCTAAAAAATACGTCACTAGTGGAATTTTTACATTTAGTAAAGCAGCAAAGGTCATACGGCCTCCAAGCGGTTTACTGCCTCATCGTGGCTGGGAAGTGTTCCTGGGTGTCGAGCTGCGATGTACAGAGTGGAGATTCATCCTCTGGCAGGGTCTCCTAAGCTAAGGAGTCCGGCGTTTCTATCAAGAAGTCCAGCTAAGAATAAACCAATACCAGGATCCGTCACCGTCCTGGTACCAAACTAGTCGCATGGTGACAAATCTTCCTCTGATCTACAAGGGCGGCGATTGCCTGTAGTGGTGACGACCTGAGATAGACTTGGGCCTAGCTGATCTAGGGACTCCAGGGAACCACAATGGCCAAACTAGTAAAGCTCCGAAAAAAGTGGAGATTATGATAAGGCCCGCACCACCAATGTGGACGCGTCGTCCAAATATCCGAGTAACAAAGGTCATAGAATGGTTTGATAACCGGCTGACTTAAACCATCTACTCTAGGTTCTTGAAAAAAAAAATTACCTATTCATGAAAAGAATGTGGGAAGTCTACTTGTACACACAGCAAATAACCTCACCTAGTACGTGTATTGGAAGAGATGACTAAGGATAAAAACAGAAACGGGAACGACCTTACCAAATTTAACTGAAAACGATGAGAAAGATACATAAAAGACAGCTCATAAGAAAGGTGATGAAACATTACAGAATGAAAGAAATATTACAGATTTTTGCACAAGCTGTTGATACCGTTCTGTGTTATCTGTTACCGTGTTTGACAATTGTCGTGCTGAACATCCTAGTTGTCTTAAAACTTCGACGATCGACATTTGTCGACACTAACAGAGAGATGTCAAGAAGGCAAGGCGGTGAGGAAATTATTCTGGAATTTATCTATCTTTCTTATGCATAGACAAAGTTTACCGATACAGCTCAGTGATTAGACGTGATCTGTAATACACACATGGTCATTGGTTCGATCTCACCTGGGCAGACAAGGCTCTCCATTCTTCTGGTGTTCAGCAGATTGCTAATAGACATGTCTGGAAAAGCTTCCTTCGATCCACTAACATCGGCCACCACCCATTGTGGGTACATGAGGATCTTCTCGTAGGGTCATCCCGAGGTTCGACCAGCGTTCAACAACACGCGGCAAAATTCTCAAATTGTAACCGACCCTACCCACAAATCAGAGAATCTTTGTAGGTTACGGATTTACAAAAAGGACTTGGGTGAAAGAAATGCTGGGAACCGCACAATATATGAAGTCTGGTCATTTGAAAAGTAGATATACTCAATCAAAACCGGGTTTAACTACTTTGATGAAGTGAGGTCTTTAAAAATTTCCGTCTAATTTCGAATTTTAAACAGCTGGTACAGTTGTAGCTTTTCCTATTACTTCACTACCTCAGAGATAGTATCACATATGTCATCTGAGTGATCTTTAGATGTCACCGAATTAAATAATCGGTCATCAGTAAAGTTTTCATTCGTCTCTGTTGTACTCTAGAACTGCTTAGTGGTATCCGCGATGTACGTCTTAGCTGAATTTTCGATTCCAATAGGTTGACTTAGATGGATTTCTTTGATTAGATCTTTATCGAATTGATGTGTTAGCTCCAATCCACATACATGCAAGCGCACCTGTGCGTGCCTAATTAAGATGACTATGCCTATACAAAAAACACAAGCCATTTCGGAAAAAATAAAAAAGCTACATTATTTCATAGTTCCACCTTCCATTTAAGGAAACTGGAAAAGCGCTGTTGATTGATCGTAGCGACCAGCTGGGACCACCTCACAAACTATCTCTACTACCAAGCACGAAATCCCTCAATACATAGACGATATCTCTAATAACATCAGAACCCGCTGACGGGTGGATTGCTGTGGCAAAGGTCGATAGAAATAGCTGAGAGACAGGCGAAACAAAGGACCCGCATGGTGTGGTGGTGAACGCGTTACTCCCCGGAAAGGACAATAGCGCGTTCGTTCCCCACCATAGACACCTGCGGTCCAGAGTTTTGCAAATATCTCAGCAACGTTGTGGTTGTATTTCGCTTAGTACCCTGCCGTAAAATTATAGTAGGCAAAAAATAAAAAGGTATAACATCAGAACTAGTAACAATTATGACAAAAGTTTTCTTTTTTTTACATGACCTGATATCACATATTGGGTGGATCGCAATACTTCTTTCACTCGACATTTTTCCTCGTATCGGCCATCTACGATTTGTGTTGGTGCGAATCGTGCTTGGAGCTGCTCTGCCCAGGAAAGTTCGGTGCCAATAACTCGATTTAGGAAAAACAGGAGAATTTGTTGGTCTGGTGTGGTGTTGAACCATGGACTTGTGCCTGTTGAACAGCATCGATTACGCTTAGTTCATCAGAAAAAAATAACGAATTGGAATCGTATCCGTTGTTGTTTCTTGTAGGTCAAGCAGCTAAAGCGGGTTCATTAACTCGTATTTTATGGGTAATGCCATTAGTATTCGTTGTACTGAATACACCATTCTATGTGATGATGATGATCGAAGTGTTTTCACAAGTCGTATATCATTCGCCGCCAGAATTCGCACATCGATCTCAAGTTTTTGTGGTGAGCATTTGATTTCTCTGTTTAGTTACAACCCCTTTTAGAATATAAAAGCCTTTAAAGACTATTTCATATCGACGATCTCCCTTTGTTTTTGATGAGTTCTCTCGATAGCCATTAACAGAAAAGAAGCATTCTGTCATTAAATAGTGAAGCTCATAATAACTGAATTTAAGGTAGGATAAAAACTGTTTGACACCTAAATTCCTATCTGTTGATATCTGTTCTTTTAGATAGTTTACAATACTGCCCACTATTTGTACTATATCAATACGGCGATCGACGTCGTAGTCTATGCGTTTTCGAGGTATGTGGTACGATTCATGTCCTCATTCAGTGCCGATTTTGATGGTCTCGTTTTCTAGTGCGAACTTTCGAAAAACAGCCGTCATCGCCTGGAAAAGAATCTTATGCCCTGGTTATGTGGAAAAGCAAAAACATAAGGTAGTCTACTGGACGATGTTCTAAAGAAAATTCTCAATGATAGCTCATATGTTCAATCATGGGGATGCTGAGATATGAGCAAAACTGGAAATGTCAGATGGGCTTCGCATCCTTGACTACCCTTACTGGGGGCTCCGACTTTACCTTCATACCCTCTCATGAGAAATCATGAAAAAAATGAGAAAAGAATAGGTAGTAAATAAGAAGTAAAAGCAATCTAATCTCATGTATTCTTCTGGGGTTTCGTGCTTCGTTAGTGTCATCGTAAACAGAGCGTATTTTTCTTCAATAACAAGCTCTCGAGTGAAAGAGGTGCAAAAATCGACTGAAACCTGAAAGTAGATATCGATTATTTCATGTGATAGCATACATTTTATTGTAGTCGTACTTCTTACAATGATATTACGTTTCACTTTCACGAAAAGAATGAGTCGTAGTAGAAAGTCCATTCGCTTCTCGAAATTCGTGTGAAGCGTTTTATACTTGTTCGCGCTTACAGGTCTTAGTTTTTCTTATGTCAAGGGTAGTTAAGGCTATAGAAATAGTCAGTGGCTTGAGGTGGGCGATAAACACTAATGTCCATCGTGACTGTTTGTTAGGTTTCCACTTATAACGCTTATTTCTCCTTGTTGTCTATTTTCGCAGTCGTTTTTCCATCTCTTGTCAACTCTTCTTTTCACATCACCGATCCACACATGTTCAACATTACCTCTAAATAAGAGCATACCTCAGCTGAAAAGTTGAGCACTATTTAAGCCCCAGCTGGCTTCCTTAATAGTAATGTTGTTCATTGTGTTTTACACAATTCTTTTTTCTTCACTGTATTAGCAATTCTTATTCCTTACTACACCATGGTACACACAAAATGTGTTCTTTGAAGTAGAAGGGACGGGCGACTTTCACTCCTTCTCTATAGTAAGGTGGTTTTTCCACTAAATGGAGCCGTATTCCAGCTAGTTCTGTCGTTGTATCCACTTCCATAGCTTCCTTAAATATTGCCCTATTTAGTTAACACTTATTAGAAAGATGACAAGCAAACCCATAGAAGCGTCCAATTACATTAGTTCCTTTGTTTCTTTTAAGCCCTGAACAAACAACTTCATTACTCGCAATGACACGCTCTAGCAATAGTTTTGATGAACTCTCTAGTGGCTTGGTATCTTCCAGATTCAAAGAAATCAAAGAAAAACATGATAATAGCTGAATATCAAGATGTTGCTTAACTAGGAAAAGGTTATGGAAAGGAAGGAATCAAGCTAAGCCACTGAGCGATTGATTCCGTAGAGAGACACGAGAGAGTATAGACTTCGTATTTATCCAAAAGTTTAAAAAACCTCGAGAATTTCCTCTTATGAAGCACCCAGTCCTGGAAAAAAAGCGGAGCAGCAGTACTGGAAATTTGTTCACTTGTAGTTCTTTTTCATCACACTAATAATATCCATACGCTATCAGGTATAGTGAACTAGTCCCATTATTTTCCATCCGCCTAATGGCCAGAGCTCTGTTCATTCGCAACAATGACTAAATCCGCATTGAATACTAAGGTGGTGATCGCGGTACGATGAAACTTCACCGCTAAAGAAATGCAATAGAGACGCCATCGTCTGTTTTACGTCATCTTATTTATGATTCTTACTTCCAAGTAAACACTCTTGATTCGTAGGAAGTCCACCGTCACTGAGCTGGTTTATGTTAGTCACGTTGGCTCTAATTAGCTGTAGAGCAATGTGTGTTACACCTTTGAGACCAAGAGAACAACGTGAACATAAGATGCTATAGACTGGAACAGTTTCCACAGTAGACATTACGTTTTAGCCAGAAACCATTAATTCCAAGTTTAACCCAAAATCTCGTAGTCTCTTATCGGTTTCGAGCAGTCCAAACTAATAGATGACAGAGCTGTATTAGATTTTTGGCTGCAATTCTAAAATAGTCTTCCTAACGTATAGCTAATTATTCGTCACCAAACGGTACACCTACCTTTTGTGAACTATAAAGAATTGATAATCTCGAGACCGAACTTTGTCAAGTCATAGGCAACTCAGCACCAAATTCTTAAAGTTTTAGGTTTTTCGTTACTTATAATGTATTCAGCAAGTCAACACCTTACTTCCTTGTATATACAGTAGGCATGGAATCATCGTAGGATTCTTAAACAAAGAAACTTGTCGAAATAATGGCCTTACGTAAATTGTCGGCTATAGATAGATTTTTTCACCACACCAGGTTTGTGTGTTGAATTTAATACAGTATGTACCCACTTTATGCAACAAAAGAAACTATCGGAAATAAAATGCATTGAAATCGATACCGAACTACTACGTCAGAATGCATTGAAATGTATTCTTATTGTCTCGAATATGTCTAACGTTGTATATCAATGAATTTCATTCCAAAATCGGTGAATAACTACAGGAATCATATGTAATTCATAAAATGCGAAAATATTGAACGCTTTCAACCTAAAACTGTAATATCTGATGTCACAATGGAGTAGAATAGGGACCATTAAAGTCTAAAGGTCTTTGCCAATAAGACCAAAGTTTTCTGTTCTAAAATAATGAGGCTCTGATCTTTTAGAGAGTACAATACGAATTTTTTCTCATTTCTTTCTCGACAACCTAAGCACCTGAGGAAGTCGGGGGGATCTGTTCAGCAATACGCGATGGTGCCGTTGACATTTTCGGACGCAGTGCTTGCGTTGATTAGTTTAGAAATCCAGATTTTGCTTTTAATCTCTCCAAAATCTAAATTCAGTACAAACTTAGAGTTGGAAGAATATCGTTATAAAGACTAAGTGTACCCTTTAAGAAATGGAATGAAGTCTCTTCTGAAAATCTGTGAAGTTTTGAACTGTTGAACAGCTCTGGTCACTAAGAAAGAAATTAACAACTACGGAAAAACCATTATGGTTGCGAATGTGTTCAACGCTCCGACTTCACAAGAATAAAAGCAGTGTGCGAATTTGCAGTGAATGACAATCAAATAGGATCTGTATAGCATCATTTCCTACAAAATATGCATCAGTTCAAACCGTATGGTGTTTTTCCTCTTTTTCAAACTCAAGCGAACTAAATCTTTCCACAACAGCATCGTCCTTTCAGTTGCTCGTCACCGATCGAATAACTACTCGTGGTAGTAATCGAATGAGTATCACGCAGAGGAACGAATGCAGAGAACGAACCGAAGTCACTTTGATTAAGACGGGTGACAGTGTAAAGAAGCCACTAATGAACATCGAAGTACAATACAATGCTACTGATATCTAAAAGTGACCGGAACAGTCATGATCTTCAATGATGACTGAGATCCAAAGAAGCATCCTGTTCTGGACAAAAGCATCACGGCCTTTTTATGATTGTGTTTGTCTCACTTTAACAGAATACCTCAAGAAGCTCATGTTCCCGATTTCCTCATGTGCCATTAATGTATATGCATTCATATTCCACGCAATAAAAGTGTATTGAAAAAATTTGCTTTATTGTAAAGAGAATTATGCACCCATAAACCTCTACAAGGTTTATGAAGTCTAATGGGCATAAGGCAAGTATGCTATCAAATTCCTGACCCCTGATCAATGCGAAACCTGGATAGATGGCGAATCGAAGTCGAATCATTGACCATTTGCATACTCCAAATGAATATTATTTTTGGGATTTCTTGTACACGAGTCGATGTTTTGATTAAGAAACAAGAAGAATTCATCTATTTACCTTATAAATCCTTAGATAAGCCTTATTGTTTATGGAAAAAGCTATAGTAATATTTGATGTTCTAGGCCGTAATAGGAGCCTTTGCAAATTGATGAGATCCCTACATAAGCGGAATCTACGTCTGTAATCTTTAGAGTCTGAAAAAGCTTGTAGAAAGAAATTAATCCTCATGCTCCAATATTTCAAATCTGTTCCAGAAAGGAACGGCGAAACTGAGTCACCTAAGAGTAGCATGATATTAAAAGTTATGAACATTAAAAGCTCCATGCAGGGACTTGGACAGTGTTAATGTCCGACTGAGTGAATGAAGTCTACTGAACAGATTGTGGCACCCAACACGAGTGAGTGGAGGTTGACGGACGCAGTGATTAAAAGTGGGGCACTGGGTGCATAGTCCAGTGACTGTGCTCCACACTAACAGCCAGGTGGATTGCCGTTCGAGTCCACCTGCACAGGCTCACGTAATACTCGGGATTTGTGCGACATTATGTCTAGGTCACAACAGGGCCGTTGCATGGGAGTTTCCAATGCACATGGTTGTTTTCGACTGCACATCTTTTTTTGTATAACATATAGTTCGCGTAAATGTAGCTTTCGCTTATTGATGAACTACGTCCAAAGTCAAACAAGAAAGTCTTCTTGGTTGGACCTCTTCTTCATATCCCAGTTAAAGACGTTTCCCGTTTTTTGTAATTTTGAGAAGTCAAGGTATGGTTTTTGGTTCAACACTCATTTCACATTGATTGACGTTTCTATTGATTCTCCAGTTCGATAAATATTCGTCTTGTTACTTATAAAACTCGGTCCCTTGCTTCCATCACCTCATAATGAAGATACTATAAAGCACTCGCCGTATTCTTAGTAAGCATTCTAATTTACAACAACAACTGTGTAGCTCACACAAAATGGTTGATAGATACCAACCTCATATTAACCTTTGGTACGAAAATTCTTCACCTATAACTTGTCCATTAATTTTCTATATCTATAATTCTAATAATCTACAATTACTTTTCGAAGATGTGAGAAGTCCAACGCTAAGAGGTGCCGTGCAATTCTATACGCATTGCCCTGGTTCGACCGCACGTTGTGTCACCCAAGCCGCTCATGAAATGCTCTCTCCGATTCATAAAATTCGACAACTAGTTCTGAAGTGATGACCTGAAGGCGCTCTTGCACGTCTGTTTCAGAACTCGACGTAGAATTAACTCGACCAGCACACACTGACATCCCAGAAAAAATCCTCAAGTGGCCGCCGAAGCCACGCTCGAATTCGAATGTATTCATGGATGAAAGACAGAAGTGCAGGGATCCACACAGTACCTGAAATCAGACAAGTCGCATAAGTAAAAGATGTGAATGAAAAGACGGAAACTTTGATACTGCAGTACTCAGTGAAAAACTCATAAAAAGCGGTGAGTGTGTGAAGAAACTGCTCTGTTTCCAGTGCTACTGAAGTTTGGAGTTCGTCATTTTTCCGCTGGGATAACGGAGCCTTTGCTGGGTAGATCGCAGTCAACTTGACTTTTCCAGGCTCTGAAGAAGACGAGATCAATTAAAACATTAGCTTTTTTGCGAATAAAGAATCATGTAATAACAACGTGCGTGCATATCAAGAAAATAGACAATTAGTATTTATTTATGTGATCTTATAAACTGATCTTCTTAAGCTGACGCGAGGTTGGTACAGATCTTTGCTGTCGTTGTCGTTCTTTTTGATGTTATTGAACGATGGCTGACGTTTCGGCGACTTCGCCTTCCTGAGCCTGGACGTACTTTATGTTAGAATACTTTTTATTACTCAGTGGAAAAGAAGGTTAAAGTATTAATGAAGAAATAAATATATCAACTATCTATGCCGAGGTTCATAGAAAGTCGGTCTTTCGAGTTATTAAGACAATTAGTAGTTTGTAAATTTCAGAATCAATCCGAAACCTTTCTAGTCTTGGGAGATGAAGTTAGTCCTTTCTGATCACAAATAGTAACCTAAAATTCAGGTCTTCATTTCATGCTTTTGCCACCTATATATCTACCCAGTGGAATGGTTTGGTACAATTTATAATGGCCTGTGTCCTCGATGTATCAATATTTTCACCATAACAACAGGCTTTACGCCAAATTACGTCCTATAATTTATATTCAAACTTATAAATCCTTTTTCTTTGGCGTTAGGACAAATCATGACTACCTTGTTGAAAATGTGATCCGCATTCAACTGAAAGAAATGTTCGAGTTATTCTCGACATGTGGACCAATGACCTCTGAGATGTTTCTCTCCGAAGCTAATTGCATTTCAACTCTAGTGGTCTTTTGTTTCTCATGTTTTCAAGGAAACGGATCTTCACAGGCTCGGTTGTCATACATACTAAGGAACTTGACGGCAAAGAGGCAATATCATCCATATGATGATTAGTTATCGTTTAAATCATGCCATTAGAAGAATAAAGGCTCATCGCTAATATACAAAGCTCCTAATAAGCGAATTCTTATCACACAGCCTCACCTGTTCTCAAGAGTCAAGAGCAACAGTTTGAATATTACGCTCTTAATGGGTTTTACAGTCCTGTATTTAAATATTTCCAGTATTTTAGCATATTTTCATCAAGTGACCATAATGTATCATTTGTCTTGAAGTCCAACTGAACAATCTGGTACGCTTTCCCTGCTTTTATACACAAGGGCAAAATGGAAATAAGTAAACGAAGTACCACACCATCCCATGCGTTCTGTCATAATAATTCTCCTCATTGGTTTCTAACTCTGAATCTCCAAGCATTTTCTAACTTCAAATAACAAAATTGTGTTTAAAGAACCACGATATTCAACAACTTCGTCTAGATGATAAGAAATGCGAAAGTTTGAAAGCCGTCAAGAACAATTGGTCTCCTTGTATTAACAACTCTTGTCCAGCACTACTAAATAAAATGAAAAAATAAAACTCAAAATGGAAGAAACTTAATAAATAAACAAACAGTAATAATAAACTTTTAGTATCACCTGTGGATGCGAGTATTGGATCTCGCAAATTTCCGAAAATGGTGATTATGCTGGAGTCCACACAAGTAGTGATGACTTGCCGTTCAAATAACAAGTATCAAATGACAAGTATCACCTCTATCAATGAATTTTTTGTACCTACAAAAACCATATCATTCAATAAATCACTGTTTTCTTGACGAGCAGAGTCGTTACTGAATTGTTTAAACCACAATGTCTTTATTTACTGCCTATTCCTCATTAATGGAAAGGAACGACGTGTAACATAACCACAAAGATGTAGAGATATGAACACAACTCGGAATCTCAGTTAGATTTCGAATCCGCGATTACCGTCTCCTGGGGTTTACTTGTTATCCAAGACACCAAACAAGGCCGTAGCTACACCTTGTCACTGATTTAGTTCTTTACGCTAACGGTGCTATCTTTTACTGCAATGTTCATTTTATGTTAACTAACGTTCACGCAGATTTCACCTTCTCAAAGCCTAGGAAGGTCAACTTCTATGCGCAATGAAGCAAGCCAAATACTTCAATAATCCCAACAAAAAAAATTCTACAATCTAAATTTCCGCTTTCTATACCTCTTCCATTTATTGATAGAGCCATCAAGTTCAAACAGCTGGGTAACGGGACACCCTCGCGTTTAACGATCAGTCTGAGATATCGTGTGAGACCAAGCTTAATAAAAGCACATTCCAAACGTAATAAAAAGATGAGCGAGAAGACATTTCCCATCTATGTAAGACTCCCTGCGGCTGGTCTCCAATAACAACCTATACTATAATACTTAATAACAGCAAAAAGGCTCCGCAAAAGGCGAAACCGCCGAAACGTCATCTATTGTGTATTAATAAGTACTAGAATAACAACCAATACCAGGATCCATCACCGTCCTGGTATCAAAGTCGCATGGTGGCAAATCTCCCTCTGATCCACAACAGTTGCGACTGCCTGTGGTGTGAAGATCTGGGGCAGGCTTTGGCCAGGCTGCCCTCGTGATTCCAGGGAACCGCATTGGCTTCACCAGCAGATCTCCGAAAAATAGATTACGCTGGTACCCGCACAACCAGTTAGGACGGGCCATTCAAGTATCAAGTATCAAGCAAGAATAACAACCTGGCATCTACTATTCAAGAAAAACTGAATTTATTGATAAATGCCGAGGTTAAGACAAAATCTGTCTTCGGATATACTGTCGTTCTCATATGATTCAGAATTCTATGTTTAGATTTGCATATCACCGAATCTTTTAGGGTTATACAACGTCAAGACAATACCATTCGTACGATAGACAAGTAACGGTGCTAAATACCCAAGCGATTTCATTCTACAGGTATCGTAATTAGTTTATTTTAACAACAATCACACACTCCGTACCTATGCACAATAATGACATTGCTTATAGAACTTCAATGATGCTGAGATAATTGCAAAACTCCGAACCGCAGGTGTATGCGGTGGGGAACGAACATGCGCTGTTGTCCTCACCGGGGAGCAGCGCACTTCACCACCACACCATCTTCTCTTTCGTTTTGCCTGTCTCTCAGCTAGTTCTATCGATCTTTTGCCATCAGCAATCACCCCTCAACGGAATTGATTTGGGGGTACAAATCGGCAACGAACCCAGTTAAGCAAAGGCCGCAGTCATAATCACAATTTAACGTATTATTTACTGCCTATTCTTTTTAATGGCAGGGTATACATTGTGAAATATAACTTCAATGATGCTGAGATACAACCACAACGTTGCTGAGGTATTTGCAAAACTCTGGTCCGCAGGTGTCTATGGTGGGGAACGAACGCGCTATTGTCCTTTCCGGGGAGTAACGTGTTCACCACCACACCATGCGGGTCCTTTATTTCACCTGTCTCTCAGCTATTTCTATCGATCTTTACCACAGCAATCACCTGTCAGCGGGATTGATCTGGGATGCCCAAATCGGCATAGAACCCAGTTAAGCTGCGGCTGAAGTTGAAATCACAATTTAACGTATTATGGTGTGGTGGTGAAGTGCTCTGCTCCTCGGTAAGGACAACAGCGCGTGTTCGTTCCCCACCGCATACACCTGCGGTCCGTAGTTTTGCAAATATCTCAGCATAATTGAAGTTATACTACACAATGTATACCCTGCCGCTAAAAAGAATAGGCAGTAAATAATACGTTAAATTGCTTATAGACTAGGCAGAAAAGGCGAAAAAAAGGAAGAAAACAACTACATACATACAATCATCCTCATTGGCCATAAATCACAAAGTAATAGCGTAATACTGCTTCAAAATGACATCAACGCCGTTATGAATAAGAACTCGGCACTATCGCTTTCAGAAAAAACAACCACTATGCTATATTGTTGTTGTTAGGAAACCAAGCCAGTAATCGAACTAGCCGATAAGGCTTACGTAAGAGAAAACAACTATCCATGAGGACAATTAGTGAAGATAGTAAGTCATACAACTATCTTTAATGAGAAAAAAGTGAAAGAAATTCATTACAACGTGAAACAAAGCTTTTTTGGTAGAGCATAAAATATGAAAGTGACTCGTTCATGGAATCTCTGAACAAACTGAAAACCGAAACAACCATGTGGAATTGTGATTATTTCTTCAAGCGAACTTCAAGCAGTGTCACAGCATTTGACAAATGAAAAGCAAAGTAACACAGAAAAAGTGAATCAAAGTACATGAATATGTTAGAGATACCGTACTTCAAAATGCAAGCAGGAACCACGACCACCGAACTATGAAGACTGGCCTTTCATTCATTGACACTGTACAAAAGAAAACGGAAAGAAAATCCTGTAGGAATGCTCGAAAGAAAGAGAATTATGCTTTTTCCCGAATGATACTTTTCTAGACAACAGTTACTTTCATTGTAGAAAATATTAGAAGTGTTTATAATGGAGCAATTCCTAAATATTTCGCTACGAAGACCCTCACAACTGAAGTTAAGTGAAAGATGGTTGGATAATGAAGGACACTTGGATTATCACCTGCTGTATGCCAGACCTGTGGAAAAGGCACAGTGATGAGATGAAGAACTGGAACACCTGAAAGGGAAACTACGAAAATGTTCACATGAAGAAAGTCATTTCAACGTGTTCACCTCGTCTCAAAAATGGAATATGATCGTCTTCTACCGCATTGTACCCAATTCCTGGTTGGAATATGTTCGGAACAGCACCGATGCAACCAAGATAGCGTAACTCCTGTTCTAAAAAATCATCCAACCACAGTAAAGAATTTCATTACTGTTCGTTGATAAAACTTCCCTGAGATGCGTCGCTATAGTGACGTTCAAGTTATAAAATTGTTTAAGCATTTAAGCGCTCAGGTACCCAGCGCAGCACCCAAAGGCGCCTTGCCCTGTAACTGCACATAGGTTGTATGGTTAGATTTCATGTCTAGGGCTAACCCGGTCATCCATACGGCATCGCTAAGTTTCCAGGACACTTCTCTTATAGTAAAAAACAAAACACTAATTTCATACATTAGTACGTCCCGTAAGTGGAGCTATATGGGCTAAGTACGCGTTAAATCACCGCTATAATACTTTATAAAGTCGAAAACCTGGCAAATTCCTAAGGTGTTTATCAACGAAAAATGCTTATCCTTTATTTCAACATTTTATCACCTGTATTCTCGTTGATCGTCGAGTGACTCGAGCGGGAGCCAGTAAATCTTCTATTTTTCCCTGTCGTGTGCAAGAGTAGACCAATGGGTTCCGCTTGCTCTAGAGACTCGTTGAGCATGATAACTTTCTTCTAGGCTTTTCGTAAAGAAGTTTGACCATCGAGTCTTTGTGCGTTTAACATCCCTATGAAACCATTCACTAACGATTCTTGTCCAACGGTTGTTCCGACCCACCTTATCTTCGATTGTTTGGCGTTCAGAACGGCATCTTTGAATTCTGATCGTTGTCGCAGGTCGGAGCTCTCCTCAATTAAATGTTCGAAATAGGATACTCCCTAGCATCGTCCTTTCGACTGCGCGCCCGATAACGCTGAGTGACCTTTCATCTTACTTACGCAGCGACCAGGTTTCTGATGCATACGTTAGGGCAGGAAGTACCGTTGAGTCGGAAAGGTGGGCATGGAGTCGGGTGTTCTTTGTTCTCTTCATTATATACTCGATGTCCTTGAACGCTCCTCAAGCCGCACGTTTGCTCCCGCTCAACACTAGAACTAAGTTGTTCAACATGTTGATTTCCCAACCTAGATAGACAGCTTGAGCATTCAGAGATATTCGCTCCGTTGAGCGAGTGGGGCAAACGAAACCAATCCGTTACTCATTAATATGGTTTTATAAGATTTAGTCGAAGACCAATCTTTCCACAGGCTTTATCAAAGTCAGTAGGGAGTTGTTCCGCTTGGCTAATGCTTGGTGTTATAAGGACGACGTCACCAGCAATGTGAAATTGATGTTATTGCTAAACGTCGATTTTCACTCCCATGCTGTCCCACTTCAATGTTTTCATGACGTTCTCGAGGGTGACGGTAAACAATTTTAGCGAGATGGTATCACCTTATCCAATCAGTCTTTTGACGTCGATATTAATATTGTTGAAGAATGGTGATATCTCGATTGTGATATTTTTGTACAGCTCATGAAGAAAGCATTTCAAGTATTCAAATTTATCATAGTGACAGTTCGCCGATGAGGAAGTTAATTTCGCAAAAGACCCATTGTATTTCATACAATCCAACGCACGACTCATTTCAACTCCATTTAAATCGCTCACACGACCTCCTAAACTGTATTAAAAAACTAGACCTACCAATGATAGGAAGATATCTGAACAACCGGTCAGCTCCTAATCCAATCGAATTTGAAATTATGGGATTTGGTGCTCCAAGAAGGTCGAGAAGCATAAGCACATCCTGAAATACATTTCACTTTTTTCTTCCTAAATACTCACATTCTCACCTGATTATTATAATTTTATTATTTATTTAATTTTATTATTCATATGTTCTCACATGCCCTTATGTACCTTCTCACACAGACATAAGTACACTTTCTATTGGCGTTCAGATTTATTTGCAATTGTCCTACCATCAAGAACCATAACGAACTCTTCCAAATAGAAATCTTGCCCAATATGTATGTAACCAAAATGCCCTCTAATTCTTTTTAAAAGATGACAAATAAAAGTTTTAATTATAGATTAACTAACCATTCGATCAATTTCTTTGCTTAACTCAAAAGTTGTCGTTGTCGTCGTTGGATACCACATCCTTTCCCATTTCTCAGCCAGATGGCGAGATCCATAAAGGGAATCCGTTTCAGACCAATCAACGAACGCCTCCTCCCCATCAAAAAAAATAAGCTGTAGTGCCACATCCTTAAAAACTAAAGCAAGTATTAAGACATACCTCTCTTTTTTCAAAACTAAAACGTCCGCGCTCTAAAACCACGGAAGATAGTATTAACCAATCGGACGCCCGTAACTTTTATACCACAAAATCACATACTTCATACCGAAAAATGGAAAACAAATCGATAGACTCCATATGGCTTTTAGAATTTGGTAGGACATTTGTTTCATAAAATGAATACAGCTCATTTTGTGCTGTGGTTAGAGGTGTGTGTCTTACAATGCACACAAGGTCGTCTGTCCGACCTCCTGCCCAAGATAAACGAAACCCGCGATCATTCCAATGTACCAGGCTAAAATCATAAAAGCACTAATGTAATAGTAGATCTACAGACCTTCCCAACCTATTCTATATGCTAAATATGCATTCAGTCACCTTTTCTAGGTGCAATGGAGACAGATGCATGGCACAATCCTTCAGGGATTGATCAATGACGAATGTCTTATCCCTTATCCTCTCATCTGTTTCATAGCCAACTTCCAAATTACTTATTTAGCTGCTAATAGACAAGTTCTTATTTTCATCGAACTACTTTTATCGCTCCAAGAGTTTTAAGAATACTACTAACCTAACATTTTATTGTTTTAGCAGTGTTCTTTAAGCAAATCGAAATAAATAAAGAAATGTAAATAGTTATGCTCACCATAGCAGCTCTTCCGTACATGTACGGTGTAAGTGACTTAGCAATGTCCATTATCATTGCGCATGGTACTGCTGAATCCGTTGCTGCGATCATTACTTCTCTGCAATAAGTGTCGTTTCTAAGTTGTAAAAGCTTCTAGTTCGTTCTTAACCTTTTTTATCAAAATTTCAAAGTCAATTTCGTAGAGACCATTCTTTACTTTGTAGAAAACATTTCTGTCTTCATACCACCATTTCATTCGAATACTGTTCCCTATAGGGGATCGTAATGGTCAGAGGCGCCCTGCAACACACACGCGGAATCGATCCCCGCGCCCATGGCCCACCAAGCCTCCCATCACTCCGGAGCCGACAAATTGGTACCAGACTTGTCTGGGAGGATAGCAGCGCTGGCTCGATACATCGATGGGCCACCGCGAATCATTGTAAAGGTTAGATATGCATTCAATCATCTCCAAACGAGGCTTAAGGAAGATGAATGCATAGCGCATCCCTCAGGAATTGATAAACGCCGAGAACTTTACCCTTTATCCTTTTACTATTCCCTATACTACGTGTTCACCACTCCTTTTATAGCACTAAGACGCTCGCAGGACTACCACTACCATTCTTGCATGCCTTTAGCCATTTTGAGACCTAGAAGTTCATGCCTATCCGCCTTAGGAATCGCTTCATCACCCACTATGCTGATCTGCTAACCTTCCAGAGCTGTTAATTTCACAAACACTTCATTGCATTGCCGTCTTCTAACAATTTTCTTGGTTGTATTTTACTTAAAAGATATATAGTATATGTTACTCATTCAACTTACATATATTCTTCTACATTGATAGTGGTGTGGATACCCTATGATAATTATTCGATTAGTAAAACTAGGTAATGGCGTATGCTCCCTGTGGAAAAGGTTCCGCTTACCGAAGCGGTAATCTCAGCTTTCATAATGACATTACCATTTGGATAGGACACAATGAAAAGAAAAAATCAATCAGAATAGGATGTCACAATAAGACTGTTATTTAAACTATTTAAGGATAAGAAGAATCGCAATGTTAACGACTGCCTGTACATCAGCCGGTCATCCTAACAATGAAAATGAAACGAATTGAAAATAAAAACATGGACGAATAGGGATGGTTTTGAAAACAGCTAAAGCAATCTAATTCGAATGGTGTGGATCCTTTTATTAAAGGGAAGGTTTCAAAAAGCGAATGTTACATTAAAAAGAGGATTTGATACCTGCTCATGTATAGAGGCGTTTTTATAAAGTTGTATTGAGATTTGAAGAATCACAAATTTAACAATAGAAAATAACAAACCCTGGTAAAATTTTCGAGTCATAGTGACACGCCAATACTAGACGACGGGGTGCATTCACTCCCTTTGTCACTATGAGATTTCGGAATGTTCTCGTGCCATTCGGAGTTCTCTGCTAAAATTTACACAGCTTTATAGATGTAATAGAATTACAGATCCACTACGATGCCATATCAATTTTCTTTAGTACAATCCTCTACACAACGTCTACAACAGCTCTAAAACATCGCCGTTGTTAAATCCAATGAAAACCTAATCTAATGATACCACGATGTTGAAGTTCAAAACTTAATGCGCACTTACAATGGACTCAAAATGAAAATACACTGATTGATTTAGATATATCCAAAACTAACAGATACATATATAATCAATGTCTCTTCTCTTATTGTCCCTTTCTGTGGACGAGCCACGATGTTTAAGAACCGCTACCATTCTGATTAGAGCAACATTTTGAAATGAAAAGAAAGAACAAGCAACAACCTGAAACTGATCCCATTCACTAGCCCATCCTAGTTCATCGAAAAACCTCTTTATGTACTGAAAAAATATATATAATTAGTAGAAACTAAAGCGCTATCATAATAACTGCACGGAGTACAATCATTGTTCACGAAGAGGAAAAAAAAACTCCCGTAAAAAAAACATGAGTACTTATGGACGCGAACAGAAAATCAAATTCTAGAAAAACCCGTATACTATTAAATAGTGAGTAAATACGAAAATATAAAATGCATTCAAAAATTGTACCTGTCCTACTTCTCGATGCTGCTTCGTTCCTACGACTCTGGGCACTAACAAAGGCCGCAAAATCCGTTTGAATTCAGTTCCATTCATGAAATCATGACAAAGGCGAAGTGTGGAATTTACAGGTAAGAGCGATAACATATGAGAACGCTAAAACATAAACTGTATTATAAATCTTTTGTTCTCTTTTTACAGCAATCGCGAGGTTGTTATTCAGCACACGTTTAATTCCTCACAAATATAACATACAACACAACGCTAGCTGACGTTTCGGCAATATCGCCTTCTTCAGAGTCTGGAAGGGTATACTAATATGTAATTTGCTAGGTCAAACGCTTCAACACAACCCGAAAGATGGAAATCTAATGATCTAACGATCTAATCTATGATCTAATGATCTAATCTAATGCCGAGATTAATAGAAAGTCGATCTTGGAAAATGATAAACTGTATTGACAAAGAAATCAGAGGAATTAAGTTATTTGATAGAATTCAACTCCAGTATGGAAAAGACCAAGAATAAAACCTCATTGATGAATCATACATATTTCTAAAAAGTTTTTTTCTTAAAGTTTAATGTTCCACAATAGTTGTGGTCACCACGAAGGTTCATCTGTGACCTACAACGGATTCTCTTTCTCAGAAGCAATGCAACTTACTACTAGAAGGGATTTCATATTTACATCCGTAAGCTCAAATTCTTCCTAACGGTTTACCATCACAACGTAGTTGAGAGATGTCCCTGGATGTCGGGTGGCGGTGTACATCGGCACAGCGAGGGATTAATGCCTCCAGCAGGGTCCTCCATGCTGAGGAGTCCAGCGTTTCCACTAGGAGGCCCAACCCAGAATAAACCAGTACCAGGATCTACGACCGTCCTGCTATCAAAGTTACGTGGTGGTAAATCTCCCTCTGAACGACGAGGGCGGCGGCCGTCTGTGATGGTGACGACCTGGAGCAGACCTTGGCTAGCCTGACCTCAGGACTCCAGGGAACGATTATAGCAAAACTCCGAAAAAATGGAAACCATGCTTGGGTCTCCACAACCAGTGAATACGGGCCATCCATGTATCAAAAAAAAAAGTATGCATCACTTTTATCCTACTCTTTGAAATTCGCTCAATCGCTCCCCCTTGGAACATGTAGTATTTCAACGTTCCAGAAAAAAAAAACGTAGCAGAACAGGCAGACGATGTAATATAGTAAGTCTGATTTGCCTAGTACCTGATTTGTTCTCCATTGTCCCCAAGCTGTTGTTGAGATCGACAACGAAATCACCAATAAAGCACCTGTATACATTTCGTGGATCGCCAACTGAAATTTAGAAAGCAAAAAATTAAACAGAAAGTGTTTTTGTAAAACTGACAAATAAAAACAGTGTTTTTAAATAAGCCCGGAAGTCACTGACGCACCAAATACGGTATCCGTAGGACTCTTAAAATCTCATAACAATTTCAACAAAGTGCAACCAGATGAAAAATATGGCTAATACGTAGAATTCATTGACAATACCTCCGAACTTCGTTCAATCTCAATATGAATAGGAAATATCCTACTGGACTGACAAGTTAACAGACTGCTATTGTAAGAAATTACTTTACTGACTGTGCCTAACGTTTCTGCTAGTTGCTAACAACTAACAACCCGAATCGGATGTTTACGATTAGAAAGATGCGGATCAATTTCGGTATTAAGAATCTTCGTCCTTTACGCACCAACATCAAACTATGACGAAGAAGAAGTCGGACCGTTCTATATGGACTTGGAGTAGTTCTACAGAGAAGACCATAGATTCTTCAAGATCATCATTAGAGATTTTAACGCTAAGATTTGACTAAGAAGAAAGTCACATTGTGACCCACGGATTAGAGAGGAACGGGCAGAGTGAGCGGCTGTCTGAGTTTATCATGACGACGAACACCATCCATGGTAAATCGCAATTCCAGAAAACCCACCCTCAGTGCTGGACGTGGGAGTCTCCCAATGGAGAGTACCATAACGAAAGAGACCACATCATGGTAAATAGAAGGTTTTGCCTAACCGATGTCGCTGTTGTCCCAAAATTCTTCACGGGATCAGACCATCGCCTCCTTTGTGCGAGATTTCATTCCTCGCGGAAAGGAGAAAAAGCCGCTTAATCCAAAAACCGAAATCGCAAAACCACCATAAACTGGGGCTTACCTTACTCAATTCACTAGCCGGCTGTTGGAAAAATGTCGTTCACGATAACATCGACGAGGTATACGATCGGCTCATTCAACATATTCAGGTTAGCGCTATGAAAGCTGAGAGTCTGAAAGTTACCAAGAGACGTCTGTCTCCAGAAACATTCGGACTAATACGCCAGCGTGGAATCGCACGAGCTGCAGGCAACCGCGAACTAATGTCCGAACTTGCAAAATAATGCAGACAGGCGATGAAAGAAGATTTTAAAGAGAGAAGACCAGCAGTAATGGTCGAAGCTGCAGAGGCTGGAAAAAGCAATCCCAAAGTCCACCGAAGCATCGCCAATTACAAGACCAAGATGATTGCACTCCGACGCCCAAACGGAACAGTTACAGCGTCCAGAAAGACAATGGAGAAAATCATTCACGAATACTACTCAGATCTTTTCGATAGCCACATCCACCATCCGTCATATGAAATGAAGGAGGTTGGATATGTTGCACCACCGGTTCTCCCACCCGAAATCCGACATGCCATTTAGTCGATGAAAAATCGAACAGCACCAGGACCGGACAGGATAAGACCAGAACACCTGGAGAACCTTCCGCTAGTCCTCGTAAACACATCGGCTCGGCTCTTTACACGTTACTTGTCTGAATGCAAGGTCCCTACTCAGTGGAAGACCAGCAAGAACGTGTTATTCTTCTTCTTGTCACCTACACGATATCGGCAACTATCGACCGATCTGCTTGCTATTTGTCGTCTACAAACTTTTCACTCGAGTCATCCTAACCAGGATTCACAGAACACTTGACGAAGGACGGTAATGTGAGGAAGCAGGGTTTTGAAAAGGATTTAGTACGACGGACCACACCCACACGAGAACAAGACTCACCGAAGTATCGCTAGAGCGCAAAACACCGTTCTTCCTCAAGTCCATCGATTTGAGGAAGCCCTTTGACACATTGAGATAGAATCAGTCATGGAGGCCCTGGATTGGATAGTCAAGAAGTCCCTACTCGGTACATAAAGATTCTTCATGAGCTACAGAAAAATTTCACAACCAAGATATCACCATTCTACAACGATATTAACATTGACGTCAAAAGAGGAGTTAGACAAGGTGATACAATTTCGCCAAAATTATTTGCCTCCACCCTCCAGAACGTCATGCGAACATTGGAATGGGATAATATGTGGGTGAAAATCGATAGTCGGCAGTTACATCATCTTCGCTTCGTTGATGACATCGTCCTTATAACACCAAACATTAGCCAAGCGGAAAGTATACTTGCCTGCTTTGATAAATCCTGTGGAAAGATTGGTCTTCGACTTAATCTCACGAAAACCATGTTCATGAGGAACGGATTGGTTTCGTATGCCCCACTCACGGTCAACAGAACGAATACCTCCGAATGCCCCAGTTATGCCTCCCGTCTCCTGTTATGTTAAGGCTTCAAGGTCGGGAAACCGACATGATGAACGACTTAGCTCAGGAGTTGAGAAGAAGCGAGCGGCATGGGAGGATTTCAAGATCATCGAGAATGTAGGAAGAGAACAACGAACACCCGAGTCCGTGCCCACCTTTTCGACTCAGCGGTACTTCTCCTGCCCTAAAGCATGCGTCAGAAACCTGGTCGCTGCGTGTATGGAAACAAAAGAAGACTTGATCAAATCATACGACTTTTTTCACCACAAGCTGGAACTATTCAGCTTTTAAACTAAAGAAAGCCGAAGTTATTGCACTATTGGGGACAAAAGGTAAACAAGACGAGCAGGTCTCCTCACTCGCCCAGCCATCCGCCCACCCACCCATTTATCCACCAGCTATTGATGAGGGCGCAGGTGGGAAAATAAATCCACAATGATGACTTTAGCGCAATGTATACATATATTTTTGAGGTTTTAATTCACTAAATATGGTAAAATAACCATAACGAAAGGACTGACAACGATGTAAAAGTATGGTGTTTTACTGACTCGATTGTACTTCACATAGATCCCAATCAAGGAAAGAATCATATGTCGAAATGCTCATAATTTTCTGGAAAGCGGCCAGATAGATGAAAGAAAAAGCGGAAAAGAGATTCTCAGAAATTCTGAGGAGCGAAAAGAGAAAATGAATTAGTCAGTGATATAGAAATATATAGAAGACTTTCGTGAAAAGGTTAAATGGAAAAAACGTTTGGTGGTGGTTGACTAATGAAGGTTGCTTGGTGCCTATTTAAAATGTAACTCTTCCGAAAAATCGATGCCATTCATCTTGCTATACCCTAGAGAATGGCGACTCTACACAAGAATGTTATCATCAGAAATTATGGATTAAGGCAAGTGTTCTTTCTCTTTTCTTTTGCAAAACTTATAATATAGACGAGGAGGTGGCAGTGAAAAGGAAGAAGTACTAAGAATTAGTAGGAAGAAGTATTCAGAAGTGCACGTGGCAAGAAAAAGGAACAAACGAGTACTAGGAGAAAACATTAAGTAGTGTAGGAAGAGGCACAAAGAAGTAATAAGATTAGGCATTGAGAGCTGGAATAAAATGAACTATGAAAGAAAAATAAGGTAAGAAAAGACCAGTAAACTGCTACCATGCAGTTCGACGACTGTCCTTTAAAAAATTTTCTCGCACAGGACACATAGGTAAGGATTAAAAAAATTGAAAAATCGACAAAGTACTATCACACAACTCACCATTTTCTATCTAGTAGTGATGACAGGCGAATTTCGTAGATTTAAGCGAATAGCGCTTAATCCACTTTGAATTGATACGCTGGCAATGTTGCAAAACTGGCTCTGACTGCTGGGAGTAAACCTCTCCAGATTCTGATAGTAACAAATTTAGTCAACCATTCCACGTTTCTAGTCATTCGTACTCTTCATTTACTCTATATAGAATATCAAAACCATGAATTGTAGACTACTCG